GCAAGGAAACTGAATTACAAACATAATCCGAATAGAATTGGGAATCCTTGTTTGACACGGATTACTGGCAGTGCGAGGTAGCTTCTTTGAAGCCCTCGAAAATAGCCTTCCTAGATGATTCGATCTCACCCAATCCCTTGTCGTTGTAGAAGGGAACTTCCTCTGTATCCTCCAACTTGAATCAGCTCGAAATACTTTCCCAAACTCAAGTTATAGGTCTTCAAAGGTAGCATCTCGAACACAGTTTCTGCCTTAGCCAAATCTGGACAGATTCCAGGTTTCTCCATAGCATTTTGTGAGGCTCGATAAACATCCTTCTTGGCATCTCCTCGAGCTCCATGACATATCAATCGAATTATAATGACTTGAAGTTCACATTGAGCCCTTAAACTTACATTTTCATTGAATGGTTTGGGAGATATGAGCTCCCAAAGTAGGTACCTCAAACCTGACCCAACACTTAGCCAAATTCCTTTCTTCTTCTTCCAAACTCCACTTCCTTCTTCCTCAAGCCATTCCAACTTCAAGATTGATCCAATTAGGATCATATCAGCAAACCTTCTAGTATAGCTTGTATATAATTTGTACACATTATCTTGCTATAGGAGGGATATGTTTTGGTGTTGCTTAACTGACTGAGGCCCCTCTCTTGCATTTTCTGATTCAGATGTTGTTATGATGGAAGAAGACTTCGATATCTTGAAGGTCTATCATTTCCTCTCTCTCTCTCACTCTCTCTCTCTCTCTCTCCAATGCATATGTGTAATTACGTCTGTGTGCGGTTCATATATAGTGATGGCCGATTTTTTTTTTGTTCAAGAAAGAAACAGTTCTAGGTTGGCTACTGATAAATTCATTTTCATTCTTCAGGAGTTCTTTATAGCCAGTGGAGATGGCCTACCTCGTTCGGTGGTGGAGCGAGAAGCAATAGAGGAATATGCTTGTTAATAGGCTTGTCATTGGTGGGGATTTAATCTGTACTCCTTGTTAATAGGCTTGCTTTCCTTAGTTGGATTAGTTTAGGTGTCAATAGAGTAATTCTTTTTTTGGACGTAAATGGTATTAATAAATTAGGTTTATTTGGCGGTCTATATGAAGGGGCTCCAAGCCTTAGAGTTTACCTTGTAAAAAATAATTGTCGTCGTTCTCCCTTTTGACTTTAGCAAAAGTAAGGATTTTCTTCTCTGTTGGCTGGGAGCTAAACTCATTGCAATGGAGAAATCTCGGTACAGTGCAGCAACTAATATAACTCTTTCTTTTGGTCGATTGTGTTGTTCCTTTCCTACAACCTTTTTCCTTTCATGTATGCGTTGTCTTTATTCGCTCCTTAAGCCACTTTGATTTTTGTTTGTTTATTACTTGATGCTCCTTTAATTCCCTACTATTATGTAAGTCCTTAGTTATTTATTGTTTAACGTGGGCAAAATTTGTTTTTGAGCATGTCGAGCCATGATACTAAGGAAGTTATTGGATCCATATCGACTACCTTTCGAGCCATGGAGACGACGTTCACTGAGTTGTACGATAAGATTAAATCTTTGACTGCAATGATAATGAAAACTTATACTCAATTTCAAGTGCTAAAGAGGATGTCGAAACGCATTGTTGATCAAGCATATGGAAGTTCACCTCCCACTGATGTTTCTGTCACACCTAGGGTAAAAAGAGTTATTTGTATAGAATCATAACCAGACTCAGATCGCGATGGTGATGGTTCACACAAGAGGCAAAAATATGCGGCCATGGAAGATGTAAATGAGTCGGTGAAAGTATATGGAATTTATTTAAACAATTTTCACTTGTGTGATTTTAAAATGTTTATGATGTACCTATGTATTGTATTTTTTGTTAAATTCAAATTGTAGGTGGAATTTCCAGTGACTTCATCTGGAAGTTCAGCTGCCACTAATGTTCGAGTCACGCCTAGCGCAAAAGGAGTTATTTATTTAGATTCAGACTCAGACTCAGACGCAGATGGCGATGGTTCACACAAGAGGCCAAAAAATGCGGCCGTGGAATATATCAATGTGTCGGGGAAGGTATATAGAATTTATTTTAAGAAATTACACCTGTATGATTTTAAAATGTTTATGATGTACCTATGTATTGTAAGTTTTGGTAAATTCAAATCGTAGGTGGAATTTTCGGTGACTACAATAATGGCGTTAGATAATGATGAGGATCGTTACATTGCATGTTTCATCTTTGGTGATGGTCTACAAGATGATAAATGGCTTGTTGAGAATTTTGGCCATTGGTTTCATCTTTAGTGTATAGTCCATTCATTCTTTCGTCATCATTTACTTGTGAGTTACATTTCAGATATATTTGCCAATGAACGATGCGAATCGCCATTGGTTTCTTATTGTGGTTTTCATGGACCAAAAGGAAGTGCATGTAGTGGACTCTTTGCCTAATGATTTGGGTGTTCTGGAAAATCGTAGGAAAAGGGTGCAAGGAATGGTGAGTGATCAAACTATTCCCTTCGTATAAATCTAGTAACTCAATTTTCTTTTTTTTAAAAAAATTTTGTACTGTAATAGTTACGTGATTAAGTTTGTTGTTACAGTTGAAATTCGTTTACAAGATGCTTCAAGAATTTCCAGGCAAGCCATAAACCTATGAAGTGCCCAAAGTGCATAAGTTCCAAATCATAAGTCCTCCATACGTTTCTAAGCAAATTTATGAGTTAGTATTTCCACGTAGCTATGAGTGCGGGTTTTATGTCTGTCAGTGGATGTTGCACGGAGAGGCTGATAATAATTCGTATATGGCGGTATAATACAATCCTTTCCTTCTAAATATGATTCCATCCACATGAGATTCTACACTATCAAATCTAAATCAACATATTAAGAGTAATGTTCTAAATTTGGTGCAGGCTCAATTCTTACACATACGAATCTTACATAATTACACAAATGGTGGTCCAACGGATTGAAAATTACTGTACTATCAAACAATGTAACACAACTGGTGGTCACAACGGATAGAACCATCGTTTATCAGTTTATATGATCATCAAATGTCATGGTGTGAGGACTGGTTTTAGTTATAAAACCGGGCTACTAAGTTTTTCAATATTGCTCGATTAAGTGAGCTGAACTTGCGCAGAATAACAAAAGCCCAAGTTCAAACTAAGAAGAGGCCCAACTGGGAAGGCTACCAAGTTAGCTTGATATGATATGGTAGCCTAAATTTTGCGCCAAGTAAACCTACAACAGACAACAATGCCTTCCTTCTGAACTTGATTTCCAAATGATGCATTGAATCAAAGCAGCATAGCGCAAATCCAGAACCTCGAGACGGATACATATAACAAAGAGATACATGTCTATGTCAAAGAAAGAAAGATGAAAACAAACAGAGACTAACCATTGGAATTCACTACTAGCCTAAACAATCCCCGAATTGGAATTCAAGGCATAAATGACAAAGGAACAAAGGTTCTCTCACAAAATCAAGTTCTAACAAGAATACAACTCCCGTTGCATAATGCTTTCTGAACAAGTAAGACCATGAGACAAGCAGGAAATTCGAACAATTCAAGGGTATTGTTTTGGTTCTCAACGAACATCATAAGGAAACGAAACTAGAGTACTGGCAGGAGAACTAATCAACCAAAAAATTCATAAACGTTTGCAGGAACCAATATCCAGAATGTACTACTGCAGGAGAAGTGAACCACTATGTCCCTATGAATCTTCTAGGTCTGGATTACGCTTTTTGGCTTTCTTCCTTGTACCTACGAGTCTGGGCAACAAATCTCGATGCATTCCTATTTGCTTCCTCGATGACGACATGTCTTATGTGATTTGTAGGTTGTTGGACCAGATAAAAAGCTAGTTGCATTCTCCTCATATCTCCGCATGGCTGCAATAGTTTGACAATGACAATGATGCTTAGTAGCTGTTTCAAAAGGTTGTTTTAATTCAATGCCAAGTAGGAGAATTCTTGCTTACCCATATATTATAAGAAGCATCCCAAGATGCACCCATCATCCATGAGCACACCCAAACCCCACTATCATACCTACATAAAATAAGATGCAACATATGAGTTGTGGGTATCTAAGTATGTTTCTAATTTATTCACAAAGAATGATTCTTACGCATGACGTTGTTTGGGAATTGAAGGAATTGTCAAAGAAAATTGTTCCAGCATAGGTGGATCAAGTGTTGGTTCCACTTGCCGATAAAGATCCTCAAACAATGCATCAAGAAATTCAATCTACATAAGCAGCAATCACTTTATTCGGAATAGATGAAAACATAAATCAATTTAGAAATATAACTGTATTCAGATCAGGAGGTCAAACCATACAATAGATGGACTTGTTTGTCATCCAGCATGATGACAACTAAATACCAATGAACTGCATCACCGTCCATTGCATCTTTCATGGGCAGACACACCTAAATAACGACGAGAAATACCAAACTCAGCTGAGCATATGTAAAATACGATTTATAGAAAGATCAAAAAGCTTGATGAAACATTTAATTTATTCACATATGCTAATTCAAAGGTAGCTAGAAACAGTTAATGAGGAAAATTTCAATGAAACAAGAAAGGAATTGTTAAGAAGAAATCTTTCTGTACGTGTGAGCTTTTGCCAAGAACTTTGCACCATAACACTCTAGAGCTTTTTTTGATGTCATGTCATAGTTAATTACCATTTCCTGATCATGGTTCAGTTAAAATAGAAGATAAAACATTCACCCTATTTAATAAGAGAGACGAAATATTGCAACTAAAATAAATGTTCAAAGTAAATGGGACTATACTTGTAGTTCAGTAGGCAGATAACAAACCACTCTTCCATCTCCAACATCCCTCCAAATTTCCTCCAGGCTCAATTGGCAAGCCATTGTTGTAATTACATTATCATCGACATTAGACTTAAGGCAGAGAGACCACAACATCTTTCGTGTATAGGATTGCATCATGGTTTCGACGAGGACTTCCTTTATTCGAAGATCCTTCGCAAATATGTAGTGGGCAAGGTTCACTTCCTCTCTAGTGTACTTGAGATGTGTTGGAAGCATAAACTTTGTTTCATCCTACCATAGAAGACGAAACATAAGGATACAAAAAAATTGATTCGGTTCTAAGCACGAAATAGCGGTGGGGTAGATTATCATACCTTCTTGGCGAATTGTAAGTAAGAAAATCTTGTAAGGCCTTTCCAAACTACGTCATTCCAATCTGCATGCAAAATCACCATCAATCTGGATCACACCATCTTCAGTTCTACCTTTCTTTCCTCGAGATACATCCTTCTCCAACAAAGAATTCATCTTAATAAAAACACAATGCGTTACTTAGTATTGGAAGAATAATCTGCAAAGATTGAGAAAAGGGGGGGAAAGATGCAAACTGACGAACCATTAATTTGAAGAACTTCTGGTCTTGCGTTTGGTCATCACCCTGCCATCCTTATCGTTCTGCATATTGCTGGTTTCTGCCCCCTGTTCGATTTTTTGTATTGCGGCCAACTGTTGAGTGTTTTTCTCTGTAAGGGTATTGTAAACTTTATCTTCCTCATTAACCTCCACATGGAAAAGGAAAATAATATTGTATACGGGTAATAATTAACATGGAAACAAAAGCAATCACTTATTTGGAAGATGAATCGAACAATCCATATATAACACGCAAGCATTCTTTATTAGTTGCATTCTTTACCCAACAAATAACCATAACGGAAAACAATAGAAAATACTAAAATATAAAAAAATTGAACACTGTGACGGGAAACAATAGAAAAAACTAATAACACGTCAGCATGAAAAAGAATTAGGTTAACAAGTTTTAACTCAAGCCTTCTGTATATTCACAAAACATAAAAAAAAATAAACCTCTATTGCGTTGCTCCCGATTCAGCCCCTCCCCACAAACAACAAAAACACGGCACGCCAATGGAGGAAGATGGAGATAATAACAACAACAATGAAGACAGTGATGTGGAAATCTTACCAGAAACAATGACCCCTGACAATGATGGTCCTACTGTACAAGAGGATGCCACAAACGTTATTCAGAATTCTCCTTTTATCGGTCAGGAATTCAATGATTTTGAGGATGCATATACGTTCTACAACAACTATTCTAAGAGTTGGGAGTTTCTGTCCGTCGCTCAAGGAAGGTTAACAACGTCAAGGGAGAGGTAACAAGTGCAGCCTTCGTGTGTTCCTGTCAGGGAGTTAAAAACCACATAAAGGTCCACAAAAGAGGGATTCGCCTATGGAGATAAGATTTAAGTGCATGGCTATATATGTTTCGCGTGAGCTTGAACAAGACAAACAATAAGTGGGTTGTTGATATATTTAAACCACAGCACACTCATGACCTAGTTAAGCAGAACCAGCTACATTACTTGAGGTCACATCGAGGATTAACAGAAGCAGACAAGGCAGACCTCCGATTTAAAAAGGATGCCAGAATGAAACCTTCTCAGGCCATTAAGCTTGCTGTGCATTGTGCTGGAGGGCATGACAAACTTGGGTATACAGTTAAAGATGGGTTAAATTTCAGCACCAAAGACCGTGATGAGAGAATAAGCGAGGGTGATGCGGAAACTGCACTCGCCTATCTAGAATCAAAGAAAAGCACAGACCCACACTTCCTCCTCCGATACACTACTGATGAGGAAAAAAGGCTCCATTTTTTTTTACTTTGGACTGACAGCATTTGCAGAGCCGACATTTCGTGTTTTGGGGAGTTGCTCGCATTTGACACAACCTACCAAAAAAACATTTACAATATGCCACTGGTCATTTTCACAGGTACGCCATCCTAGTATGCCCTCTAAGTATTAGCCTTTGCTTTGTTGTTTGAAGACCCATAATGGCATCTAGAAAACAGCATCATAAATTGCTAATTAAGATACAAACTTCGAATAACTTTTGCAATGTGTGGGTTTTGAGCTTTCCCCTTTTACTTATGATTCGCTTCTTTTTTGGTTCGAGGATTGTGGAGGCTGCTAGCTATTCCTAATTCCTATCCAGCAATAAACAACAAATAATAAACAAAAGTAACACAAGTTTCTGATTATATGAACTCTACCATTGTTTACATATTCCTCACTGTTTTAGCTTTTCTCTTGCTGGTTTATTTCTTGCTGGTTCAAAAGATTCTGATTTTTTCGAGTTTCTGTTTGACATTGTAGGTATCAACCATCACTTCAAAACTTGCTTATTCGGGAGTGCACTATTGCTTAATGAGACTGAAGAAACCTATATTTGGGCGTTGAAGATAGTGAAAGAAATGTTGGGGGACATTCCTCTACGTACAGTTGTCACGGATGGGGATAAAGAAATGAGGAAAGCTATTGCTAATGTGTTTCCAAATGCAACACATCGGCTATGTGCATGGCATTTGTCCAAGAATATCACTGGCAGGGTGAAGAATCGACACGATTTTGAACCCCGATGGAAGAAATTAGTAACTACTGAGTACGAGCCAGAAGAATTTGAGGAGAAATGGAATGCATTGGTAGAGGAATGCGAACTCCATAACAACCAATGGGTGTCGAAAAAACTATTTGAGAGACGCAACGAATGGGCGGACACATACTTGCACTCCCATTTCTTTGCTGGGTTGACAACCACATCAAGATGTGAAAGCATAAATGCAGTTGTTGCAAGGTATGAAAATGAGAGGTTCAGCTTGCTTGACTTTTTCACTCAATACGATCGGTGACTCAGGGACATGAGAGAGACAGAGATTAGATTAGATTTCGAGACTAATTATGGTGTACTTCCTATAAAGAATTCAATCCTAATGCCCCTCGAGAAAAGTGCAGCAAAGCTTTTCTCAAAGGCTGCATTTATAAAGTTCAAAAGTGAGCTGGAGGAGGTTTTGGAGTCATTAAGGGTAAGCAAACTGAAGAGGGGAACCTACACACCTACACTGTTACCATGTTCAACAAAGAGAAGGTAATAGAGGTGAAATACAACATTAAAACAAGCGATAAGGAGTGCAGTTGTCAAAAATTTAAGAGTATTGGGATATCCTGCGTTCATATGCTCTTTGTTCTCAAAGAAGAAAAAGTGAAGATTATTCCTAAAAAAGTGGTACTCAGATGTTGCTCGAAGAACCCAAAGTCAATTGACACTCTGCCAGAGCCAGGTACATTGGGGGATGACAACAGTTTCAGCATTAGGTATGGGTCACTACAGTTCTTGACTCAACGATTCTACTTTTTAGGAGCAGACACTCCTCTCTCTTATCGAATGGCTCAAAAGGTGTTGACAGCAGCGTGTAACAAGTTGGAGATGGTAAAGAAAACCCCCGCCGAGAGAGAACGGATTGTCATACCAGACAAGTTCAAAGATGTATTGAACCCAAATCAAGTGAGGTTTAAGGGTTGTAGGAAAGGAAAAGGGAAAAAACAAATTAAGAAAAGAAGAAGAAAGTGTGGGAACTGCGGGCTAAGGGATGGCCACTATAGGAGCACTTGTAGTTACATGTTTTTGTTCTTGTGTTGTCCTTTAAGAGTGATTTTATTCGAATGAAAGATTAGTCGGTCCAATGGGATGGTTCAGACCGAATCGAGCCATATATGGTTTGATCCAAAACGAATCAAAGTTATAACGATTCGATTTTGGTCCTTGATTTAGAAGAAATTTTGGTCGGGTCCGAGGATAGTTTGGTCCAATCTTGGACCGAATCGACCGATGCCCACCCCACCGGGCCACTGCGAACGAAATATAACCAAACACCCCAAACGTGTCCCAATTCTAAAAACCGTCAAATCCATTATCGCTCGATTAGGCAACACAAATCCACGAAATGAACAAAATAATGACCCTGCTGCTTCTCAATTGCAATTCCTCCGACGCCAGAAGCAATGAGGAAGCGACTGTAACAGGGGTAGGCGAATGGAGCTGGTTTACTAGTTTAGGACATTTCCAATTGGAATTAGGGTTTAGTTCTCTTCACGTTGGGTAAGAACGCAATGAGAATGAAGGAAGCATAAGGTCATTGGTGGGAGAAGCGGGTCCCGTTTCTGAAAAAATAAAGAGGGAAAATTTTAATGATTTGAATTTTATCTCTAGCAACTAAATAGGGAAGCATGAATTTAAGCGAGTCCCTTTTCAATTTCCTTTCTATCCACAAATAACTTTACATTTGTGATAAATTTACGCGACATATCACTCGAAATTTGGAGGGAATATTCATCAAACATAAAACGGAGGGAAAGTAAACATTTCCAACAGAAAATTTTTAATACCAAAAATACAATTTATTGTTTTCAACGGATGAAAAGTACACTTCAATTCCCTCTTTAACGCCAATAACAATTAGCAAAATTTTACTATTTTAATTTTACTTTGTGATAATTTCAGGCGGCATGGCACTCCAATTTTTTAGGGAAAGTAAAACTCCTACAGAAAATAAAAATATTGGAGGGAGCTTCTAATATTTTGTATTGTTTTTAAAATTGGAAACGTACAATTCAATTTCATATTTACCCGCCAATAACTAAGAGGGAACTTTTAATATTTTAAATTTTGGTTGCGATAAATTTTGGAGGCAGACCTCTCCAAATTTTGAGGGAAATTCCAAATATTGGAGGTAAATGTATTGAATGCTAAAAAAGCAATTCCTTGTTTACAAAAATCGAAAAGTATAATTTAATTAATTATTTTTTTCATGAATCGGCTGCGCTTATATTTAATCAGAACAATCCAGTACATAAAAGGCAACAACCGTGCCTACTGAGTAAATTCACTTAGCTATGAAAACAATTTTTGGTACATACAATATTACAAACTTATGATTAAAATTACAAGCAATTTTTCCTACATACAATAATAGCACTTTCATTCCTCTCAATTCATCTACAATTATGGTGCCCCCGGATATCAAGCTTCTACGCATCACTCTCCTTTCCAAGGCTAAAGTGAGATCTAAGAATGCACAAGTGTCTTCGCTTTTGGCCTCACTTGACATAATTCTTCAGGGGTTTAACTCCTGCATGGACACGCCAAAAATAGTGTCATTCACAATACAGGAAACAAAGTCCGATGGAAGCTTCGGACCACAACAAAGCATACAAATCCTACTTTGGGTACTCATCTGGATAACGTTCTTCTCGCATGTCAGATTCCATCCTTCCCTTTACACTCCCCATGACAACGACATGCACATATAATGAAAGAAAATCGACAAATCAAACAAATGATATTCATAAAGCAAAATATAAGAAAATGAAATTTTGTTAAATTACATGGTCCAGGTTGAAATACTTCCGCAGACCACATATTACTATCATACACTTTCTTGAAGGGTTCAGGAATAAAGGATACCGCAGTTCCAATGGTACATATTCAAGCTAAATAGTAATGGTGCATTCCTATGAATGAAGCACTCCTACATAGCTGCAATACATTCCAGACTTAATATATCATCTACTCTAGTACCCCTCAAGAAAGCGTATGACAGCAATCACATTATCTGCGCAAGCCTCAACCAAATATTTCGCATATACATGTGTTCTCAAATGAACAGT